CCCCCCCTCTCTTTTCGGCATCGCACGCCTCTTCCCCTCCTTCTCATTCGTCCACTCACTTGGTTCTCTCACATTGCAATGTGGTGGGTGCTTTAACCGGAACCATCAAACAACCAGGTCGCGAAGGATGGCCGCCGACTACGAGATCTCGATGATGTCCTTCTCCGGACTGCCCTACCGCACCCACACCCTACGCTACTAGACGAGCTTCGTTGGTCGACTTACGCTGACTGTCTCGTCACGGGGGGTTCGTCCCTTCTGGTTGATCGAGTGTAAAGATCCAACGTCACTCCTGGTTTGTTTGTGCATTTGTGAAAATATATTTATCAATCAACATCCACCACCCTGCAGCCGCTGATGCAGGGTCCCCCCCCCAAATGCACATGCCTGGCAACGTTGTGAGTCCAACAAACCAGTTCTCCTTGGGAATGGTGCAAGGAGACATTGTACCCTTGTGCATTTGTTGATTCATCCCTACTGTCTATGTGTGTTACAAAACCTAGTATTTAGCCAGTGGTGACCATAAAAACACTACACACTGCAAGCCAGACACTACACACAACAGGTGAAATGGAAAACAGTGACACAAGAATATCAAAGATCTTTAATAAAGTGATTCTAACCAAGACTGCAGAAATCATGTACTTGTGCTCCCTTGTCTGGGGCTTTGGCAGAGGGGGGTCTGCAGAAGATGAGCCTAGACTGTCTTGCTGGCCTTTTGTAGGGTTCTGGTGGACAGAAACTCTTCTGCCCACAAGAACTGAAATTTCAGTTGTCTAGTGGGATGTGTGGCATTAGCTTGAGTTGAGTCATGGGGTGGGCACAAAAATGGTTCCCTCTTTCTTGTCCTTCCCCTACCCACCCATGGCCATGGACTCCCTACCCCCCTAAGGAGGACATCACTTGACTTGCTGACAGGCCAGCAATGTCAATGTAGATGTGTTGTTGTAACACCTGGGTGGAGAGTGTTCACAGGAAAGGGTTGGTGTGGAGGAGTGATTCCAGGTGAGGAGAGTGGGAGATGATGTGTGTCAAGACACTCAAGAACTGGAAGTGCAGTGATTGCTCCACCAACAACAGCTACTTCCCACCCTCTTCTGTTTGCTCACTCACCTCAACCCCACAGGTTACTGTCCAAGGCAAAGGTTCTCTTGTTCATCCACTGGTCTGTCCTTCAACATCCCCATCACCCTTTGGGTGCTCCAACAACCCTATGCTTCACTTCTTCCTTCACCAAGGACCAAGCTCCACCAACAAGTGGTGTTGCATCTACTGTTTCTGGCTTGTCCACAGTCCTCTCAGCTTCTATATGCCCAAACTACATGCACAAGGTTGCTGAGCACACATTTGACCTTCTCACCACCAGTGGTCCCTTCTGCAACAACACACAGGAGACTCTACAATGCCCACTAAAGGCCCTGTTCCACAACTGGTCTAGCCTGTCTTCCCAATGCCCATCACCTCTTCCATTTCCTCCCCCCCCCACTTGCAGACAAATAACTACCAAAATGTCTGCAGCTCTTTCTGTCTGCTGTGAACACCTTCACACACTAACATCACCCTACTCCCCTTGCTTGTCTGGCTGACCAAGGCATTTTCCCCTTTTATTGTGCGCTGAAGTCTAGACACCACGCAGGGTAACACAAAACTAGTTTCTGCGACACACAGACAGTAGGGCACATGTGCAAATAGATTATAAATCATGTTGGGGACGGAGAGAGTTGTATCCGTGCTGTACAGAAAGATGGCACCACCCCTCTGGGTGTTGTCTTGTCGTGGCGGCTGATGGTGGGTGTTGATTAGATATTATCTTGATGATGGTGGGTGAGCTTGTGGAAGCGGCGCGTGAGTTTCTTGCCCAGCGAGCGCTTCTCCTTGAGGGCGGGTTGATGCTCCACCGCCGACTGCGATGAAGCGAGGGCGGCGAGAGGGATGCCACCCGGCTTGGCCATCGCCACCGGGGTGGAAGCGGGCAGGAACGCCACAGGGCCGGTGTGGCCGTAGCTGAGGGGCGCGCCCGACGCCAACGACGACGAAGACGCGAGCAGCAATGGTGGCTCGTTGGTCGCCGGAATGTAGCTCCCGCTGTGCAGCATCACTGGCGAGCCGGAAGTGGTGGTGGTGGTGGTGGTAGTCGTTACTGTCTCGGGGATGAACGCGGAGGCCGTGCTCACGTCGGCGAAGGAAGCTGTCGACGAGGGAGACTGGAGAGAGGGCGAGGACGCCGTCGCGGCACGTGCAGCGGTGGCGGAGTGTGGGCTAAGGAGGCCGCCCTCCTCGGGCGTGCCGGCCTCCATGCGCAGCGGGTGGTACGGAGGAGGAGCATGACTGCCCGAAGACGATGAGGACGATGACGCGGCAGCGCCGGGCTGCAGTGCCCGGGCAGTCGCCGTGGTCCACCGCTCGTTGGACCCGAGCGGGAAGGCGGAGCTATCGCCGTGGAGCGATCCCACCCACTCCCAGTTGACCTGCCGAGTACACCCACCCAACCATCAGCGGCTGCGGCGCCCCCTCCCCCCCTGGCATCGAGATGGCATCAGGAGAGGGAGGCCATCTGTGCGACTCCACATGACATACCCAGATCTTCTTGCCGGCGCCGAGGAATCGCGTGGCGACGAAGCTGATCTTGACGCGCCGGAGCAGGGCCTTGAGGGCCAGGCACAGGTCGTCTACGACAGATAGACCACGACAATGCGGGTGCGGATGCGGATGCGATGATGTTTGATGGGTGAGCCAGCAGCGCCAAGGACAAAATGAGGGAGGGAAGGGGGGTGGGGGGGTGCGCACCTCCGAGCCACGCGGTGGCCATGCCGAAGAACTTTTCGTCGGACTGGAGGAAGGGCGTGCCCTCGCCCACCCCGGCAGCCACGCGCGTGGGCACGCTGCCCGATGACGACGACGAGAGGGCGGCCGCGCGGAGGGCCTGCAGAAAGGCGTTGGGCTCCCGCTCGTCCCCCACCACCATGCTGTACTTGAGCCGACGCCCCTTCTCCGGCGCCCTGCCACCATCATCCGCCCACGCCGTTGGTTGGTGCTGCGCTGCACCGCAGAAAAGAGCGAAAACGAAGCAAAAGCGAAGGGGAGGGGGGAGGTACGTGGGGTCGCCCAGGAGGGTGAGGGTGAGGCGGTGGGCGGAGAGTGCCTTGTCGTGGTGGAGGGCCTGGTGCAGGAAATACGCCACGAACACTTCGTACAGGCGACCGGCCGCGGCGCCCCGCGGGGCCACGTCGGCGCCCAGGATGCCGGCCAGGGCCGCCTCGAAGCGCGCCCGGTTCCTCACCTCGCCCCTCGCCACCTCCGCTTCCGCTCCTGCTGCTGCTTTCTCCTGCCCGATTCCCCAGGCGCTGCTCGCGGCCGTGGTGGTGGTGTCGCTGGCCAGCATCGGCATGTGTGTTGCTGTTTCGAGCATCGTCATCTTCCTCCTCTTGCGGCTGTTGCTTCTTCGTTGTTTGCTTCCAAGGGTGGTGTGTGGGTTTCTAAATCCTCTCTCCCCTCAACCTACGCCACAGCTAGCGCAGGGGGGACGGCGTCCCACTGATCTGGTCTCGAGCATAATATCGTCGTAATTTCGCCCGTATTTCATGTATTTTGTGTGGCCATGTAAAGGTAGGTAGCTCACGGCTCATGCCGCGGCTCTCGGGGACGGGGGCAGGAAGGGCTGCACCTTTTCGTCGAACAACTTCAGCGCTCGGCTCCACACGGGCGTCTGTGCACGCCACACACACACACACACACACAAGTGGTGTACATGCGGTCAATTATTTTGCGGCGGGGAACTACACCCACTTGAGGAAAGCCACGCACCTGATCGAACTGGAGGATGTGCTCCACGATGAGATCGCCGAACTCCTTGCTGCTCTCTCTGTGTTGTTGATATAGCCCCCGCCCCCCGCCCAATAAAAAACACGCGCAAGTCGGGTGAGCGAGCCCAGCGGGGCGCCGTTGCTGTGGCTTGGGGGACGAGAGGGCGACAAACCGGGGCACGAGGGACGGGAGGTGGTCGATGGCGATGACCTCGAGGGGCGTGGGCTGCTCGGCCACGCACTCGGTCGGGTGGACGAAGCTGGTCAGGTGGTCGTAGATGGGGAACACGCTGTGGGGATTCGTCACGTCGCAGCTCACGTCGGAGAACACCGACAGCTTCCTGCTCCCCCCAATCACCAACCAACCGACCGACCGACCGACGATTGCATCATGAGAATGATAACAATGATGATGACGACGACGACAATGCCGAGAACGGGGATGCCGCTCTTGAAGGCGAGAGAGGGATTGTGGAGGGTGAATGGAGCGGACCTGTCGGGAGTGTGGTCGATCATGCCCTTAGTGATGAAGGCGGGCAGTCTGACCTCGGGCAGAAGGTAGATGGCGTTGATGAGGATGTCGTAGTTCAGCAGCTCCGGGAACGGCCCACCCTTGGCCGTCTGCTCTCGGCCCCACTCTGTCGGTTTGATGCCCACGCTGGTGTGGGTCGTGTCGTGGGTCGTGTTCAAATCAGGGAGGAATGTCAGTTGGCCTGTGGGCGGTGCCCGAATAGGGGCGTGCGGTATGGTACCTCTCCGAGAAGGAGACGGCGCCCTTGCCGGAGCGGCCTCGGGACCCCACCACGATGACGCTGGGGTCGTGTCCGACCTTGGCCTTGGCCTGCACACGCGACACACAACAGCCCGAAGCAGAAGCAGCAGCAGCAGTGGGTGCGACCTTTAGTCAGTTGTCCGCACGATTTGGGTACTGCTGCAGCACCGGGAAGAGGCGGGAGAGCACCTGGTCGAGCAGCTCCCGCATCTGGTGGGCCATGTGCGCGAAGGAGTCGTAGGGCGTGTTGAGCGGCGGGAGCGAGTAGGGCCTCCCGGTGAGCTTCTGGTGAGCCCACACGGCGAACGCCAGACCCATGCCCACCTGCATGCATGCATGCATGCACACGCCGTCACGTGATCAGCGGTCAGCCATGTCTCGAACACGAGCGGAGAGCCGACCATCGTCAGCGAAGGAGAGGCAGAAGGCGGAAGGTGGAAGGTGGTGGTGAATACCTTGCCGGCGGCGCCCGAGAAGGCGGCAACGCGGGCGCCCTTGTCGTCGACCAGGAATTCGAGGTCCCACAGCTTGCCGCCGCCCTTGGCATATCTGCGGCACATCACGCGTGCACGCGTGGTGATGCATCAGCGGCTGGTCAAGGGCACGTGGGGGCAGCGGCGGCGGCGGCGGCAGGAGTATAGTCGTACCGCTTGAGGACCTTCTCGGCTCCATTTTGGCCCTTGAACACGTGCGCAAAGTAGACGTGCTTGTGCTTGATCGGGTCGTCCTGGTTGCACCACGCACCCGCGCGGAGATGACAAATTCCAGGAAGAGAGTGCACCACACAAATAAATAAATACACAAATATATCCATCAATAAATAAATCATGAATAATTGTCCGGTGGAGTGTGTTGTGCGGCCCACGTACATCCTCGGGCAGTTCCTTGAGGCCCAGGATGATGGCATCGCGCGGAGCCTTTTTCCACGACCCCTCCTCCACCTGTGCAGCCACCGCCCCATCGTACGGCGCACACGCACACACCACCGCACACGCACACGCAGAGAGACGCACCGCGTCAGGCTCGTGAGATAACGGGAACGCCCGCCACACGAGAAACGGAACTTCCCGCAGCCGCTGCCGCCGCTGGGGTCCGAAAAACGACCGCGAGGCACTGCAGAAGAAGGGGAGGGGGAGGGGGTGGCTGTACGAGAGGTTCCTTGAGGAGGCGCTGGTACTCGGCGTCGGGAGCACAGCGCAGGCGCGAACGTTCGACGGTGACGTGGTGGCCGGCCTGGAGGAGCCGCTCCACGTGCTCCGGCAACAAGATGGAGCGCCGTTCGTTCTTCTTTGCCTCGGCGCGCAGCCAGAAATGGTGCTTCTCTGGAGTGGTCGTGGTCGTGGAGGCATTCGATGAAGATGAAGATGATGGTGTAGCGGAGATGGCGAGCATTCGTCTGCATGCGCCTGAGGTGGTGGGGAAGACGCGGGCGTGATGGGGCAATGGTACCACCAATCTGCTGGTAGCACCGGCGGCTGCTGCCCTCTGCATGGTTTGTTGAGTACAACTTTGTGTGGGAGTTGGTGCCGATTGCCCAGGATGAGGAGCAAAGAAATACAAAAGGAAATGGTGTTGTAATTCAAATAATGCACAAAAAAGAAGCGGGCTGGGTTCGGTCTGGCGGGCAACAAGGAGACCGAGGCCTAGGAGCAGCTGGAGAATGTCCAGCCGCAGATGAGGGAGATGACGATGTAGATGCCCAGCTGTTAACAGTAGGTAGAGTAGAGTCCACGTAGATGCACGAACGTGAGCCGACTCACAGAAGCGGGAATGGGCCGCGGGAGGAGGAGACGGGCGTACCACGGCGAGGAGGATGCAGCAGCACCCAAGGATGGCGGCCCACTTGCGGTTCTTCCACACCATCTTCTTTTTGACGGCCTGCGTCTGCATCCGGTACGAAGACGAGGAGTCGTCGAGCTGCTCCGTGCGCATGCTCAGCTCTTCAATGTCAGCGTTGCGCTTGAGCACCAGATCTGGTTGAAAGAAGAGAGCAAGCCACTTGGTTAGCACATGTACCAAAGCGAGAGAACCAGAAGAATGGCGCAGTGGTGAGGTCGTGCCTATGTTGGTGAGCATGACCTGCTTCACGCTCTCAATCTCCTGCTTGGCTCGGTGGATCTTGTCTGCACTGGGGTTGGAGAAATGCTCCTGCACCATGCGCCAATGAAAAGACATCATTTGGGGTGAGCACGAGCACGAGCACCGCCCACAGGCACCACCTCATCGTGCATTGTCCAGATGTAGAAGGTCTATACCATGAGCTGCTGCAGAGTGCGGTCAAAGTCCTTCATCTGACCCGTGATTGCTTGCCTCACGGCCTGCAACAATGCAACATCACGTCCACACCAGCGTGTACGCCTGTTTAAACAGGCGGAGGCGGTCGAACGGTGAAGGAGGAAGAGTACCATCCGAGTGTAGGTGGTGGTGAAGCGATTGATGACCTCAGCCAAAAAGGAGAACGACATGCGCATCTGGAAGCCTGCAAAGAGATGCATTAAGACATTAACCGAAGAGAAAGAGAAAAAGAAAGCTCAGAGGCGTACTCAAATCGACGAGGCAAAGGTAGACGATGCCATCGTTGATTTGAATGTTGAAGACGTAGCTGCCGAGGAAGTGGTGAGCATTGGTGCATTTAAATGGGAAGATTAAGTTGGCCAAATGCAATAAAATTAAATGAAAAGCATACCCGCCCGTGGAGAAAGATCGCTTGGCGCCTTCGGATTCCTGTCCGATTTTAGAAAGAATTTGTAGAGCGATCTGTTGAAAGTTGCCAGCCTCAACCGTGCGCGAGGTGGCCTCGGTGAGGATGTGACCGTCTCTCGCGATGAGGGTGTAGAAGATCGGCATGCCTTTCAACTGTCGAGTGCTGTTCTTTTGATGTTGATTCCTTCTTTATCGAATTACGGATCTGCCCACACAGCAATCAGTCGTTTCGTTAATTTATTGTTGTCGACTCCGATCGGATCGGCCTTCACGGTTCCTGCCTCTCGGGGCGCTTGCTGCTCTTCTTCTTCTTCTTGTGGTGGGCCGGTGCAGCGCCATCACCGTCATCAGTCGCCTTGCATCCAGGCGAGGAGGTCGGTGGTGAACCGGAGGCGTTGAGGTTGGCCGCTTCCGACGCTTTCCGCTTGAGCGTGGTGGGGCCGTCGACAGACGTGGAGGTGGTGGGGGTCCACCATTCGGGGGCCTCGTGTGCCTCGTAGCCGTAGTCCACGAGCAGCTCCTCGCCCTGCTTGATGGACCGCACGCTTCGCAGGCACTTGATCCTCCCAAACACCGGATGGCCGTCGTAGGGGTAGTAGATGCAGTTGTTGTCCGGCGGCGAGGCGTGGTTGGCCTTGTGGCCCAGCGACGCGCCTGCCGGGTCCCATCGGTTAGCGACCAACGTTGCCGCGCTTGCCAAGCGGCGCAAAGAAGAAAAAGGAGACGTCATCGATTGTTGATAGATCGAGGCGGGCGCGTACTGTAGTGATCGAGCTGGTCGAATGGGCGAGGCACATCGATGACGAGATCGTCGTCGAGCGAGATGGCGTTGCTGCACTCGCTCCACAACCGACGGTCATTGAACTCGTGCGTGATCTTCTCGCCGGCGTAGAAGCTGAAGATGGTGTCCTTGTCAATGTCCCTCGCAGCAAAGAGGCCCTGTGGAACGTGGCATGACCGCAATCATCGGGTTATGATGATGGTGTGGACAGCGGCGGCGGCGAGCAGTTCATCGAGGAGGCCAAGGTTTTCGAGCAGGCAGGCGGGTACCTGGCCGGAGTGAGGGACTCGCGACTGGTCGACGTAGACGTGCTGCCCCTCGTAGGCGTCCCCGACCAGCGCATGGGGCCGGGTGAACAGCTTCCCGCGGCCTGCGCCCTTCACCTCCTCCCCCTTGCTCATCATCGCTGATGCAGCGCCCTCCTTGGCTCCTTCGGACTCCGTCGTCGCTTCCGCCTCTTCTTCTTCCTTGTCCTCGTCGGCCTTTGTTTCTCCTTCATCGTCATCGTCTTCTTCGTCGCCGTCTTCTTCTTCGACCTCCTCTCGTACGCCGACGAAGCAGTATTCGCGGTGCTTAGGATCGGCCTGGCCATTCTTGTCGTGCCACACTGCGCTCACGAGCTCGCCCTCGTCACTCCACGTGCCGCGCAAGGTGCTGCCGTCGGGGTAGGTGTAGACGGCCGGCCCCTGCAGGCGGCCCCGGCACCAGGTGCCCGCGATGCGCGCGCCCTCGTCGTGGTACCAGAGTTGTCCGTCGCCGTCGCGTTGTCCGCCGGCGTAGCGCCCGCGGTACCGCACCCGGCCATCGGCGTCGAACTCCTCCACCTGACCCGCCAGCTCTCCGTGCACCCACTCCCCTGCCCCCCCCCCGCCCATGTGAGTTAGGTCCTTTCCCGTCACGCGCTTATCGGTGTGCGTTCGGAGGCGCCGTACCAAGTATGCGGGAGCCATCGGGGAAGGAGTACTCGCCAGGTCCGTGCAGCTCTCCCTCCACCCACTGGCCGCCCATGCGCGACCTGTCCACGCTCCACCCTGTGAGCTGCCAAAAGGAAGGAACTCTCCGGAGGTCTCTGCTCTCAGGGCGGCAGCTCCAGAGAGATTAGTTCTCTCGTGCGCCGAAAGGGTACCCGTCTGGAAAGTGCAGTGCGCCCAACCCGTGCGGTTCTCCATCGTCGTCCACCTCGCCCTCGTACTTCGGCTCTTCGTCCACTTCTTGCTCCTCCTGGTGGTGCTCCATCTTTTTTTTGCGCAACAAACGATTTTCCTCTTTTCATTTCTTGATTTTTTGACAAGCCCCTCGAGTTTATTTATATTTATTTTTACTGGAGGGGCTGGTCGAGGTCGGCGCGGAGGAAGGTGGCCTCAGCGCGCGAGGGGATTATGTAGAAGACCGGAAGGCCCGGGACCACGTAGCGCGAATCGCGCAGCACGCGCCCGAGCGTCCACCGAGGATCGACCTTGACCTTACTCTTTTTGGACTTGAGCGGCTGCGATGTTGACGAGCCCAGCGGCTGCGTCCAGTTGGTCTCGTAGTAGACCAGGAGATTCTCCACGAGGTAATCCTGATCATGATAGTCATCGTCATCGTCATCGTCGTCACCAGCATCATCATCACCGCCATCATCATCGGCGTGAGTGCGATGAATGAAGAACAACCAACGAGGGGGAGACACAGAGCGGAATGTACCTTCTTTTCGTCCCAGGGCGAGGGAGCAACGCTGACGGTCTCGCCGGTCTCGGAAACGGGCGTGTAGATGAGGGAGGGGAACATCATGGCCAGGTGGTCGATGAAGGTCTCCTCGAGGCTGAATTCCTTGATGAAGTCGGTCTGCTTGTACTCCTCGTAGATGAACAGCACCGACAGGGACACCTCGCCCGAGTCGCGCACGAACACCGTCCGCGACAGCTCCCCCTCGGAGCCCTCCTTCACGTAGGCCTGCACACGCGCGCGCGTTCATCACACGTCGTCAACACGTGGGTTGCATTGCAACAACACCCGATTGGTGGGGGGGGTGGATCACCTGAGTGTTGAATGACGGTGCGCCCATCTGGATGCCCTTCTTCTTCAGGACGGCGAGGAGTTTGTTGTTCTCGGCCTCCCGCTTCTCCTCGGCCTCCTTCCTCTCTTGCTCCCGCTTCTCGATCTTGGCCTTGATGGCCTCGGCCTTCTTCGCCTCGGCCACCAGGTCCTTGTTATTGGGCTCCTCCTGCCGCGTCACACGCACGTCGTCAGGCCAAACAAACAAAACAAACAACGCGGAACTATCCGTGGCATGTGATGTGCTCAGGTGCGCACCTGGAGTCCGCCCTTGCAAAACTCGATTGCCTCCTCCCACTTGTCAAGGGCGTTGCACGCCTTGGCTGCTCTGTTGGGGCACGAGGTGGTTGGTTTGGGGTTGGTTTGGTTTGGTTTGGGGTTGGTTGGAGTTGTGAGAAGGCAAGCACACACACACAACCGAGTGTAATAAAAGGTGTAACTCCGCCACCATACACGGCAAGGAGGAATGTACCGGATGTAGGCCTTGATGTTGGTGTGGCTGCACTCAATCGCAGACATGCAATCGAGCACCACGGCGTTATAGTTGCCTATGCACCACACACAGCGGCAATCAGCACGTTTACTCGCGTGGGTCATCTGACGCACGAAGGAGCCCATTACAGGCAAACGCGCGGTGGGCGTGGACGTACGGAGCATGAGCTGCACGGCGGCGCGGTTGCAGTAGTAGACGGAGTTGTTGGGCGCAATGCAGGACTTCTGCTCCAGTGCGCGCGTGTAGTAGGCCAGCGCGTCGCGGTAGTATTTGGGGCCGGCCTTGACCATCTCATTTCCCTGCCATCGCCATTTACATAAATTTTAGTTTAAATTCAATGAATTACGTTTAATCAGAATAAAATCGGAGCGATACTTGTGGGAAACCAACCTGATTCTTAAAATGCTCAGCAAGCTGCTCGGGAGTCTGATCCTCGTAGATGAGGGATGAAAGGGCCTCCAAGGTGCCTGCATCTGGGTGATCGCTGGAGGGCAAAGCCTTCATAAAGAGTGGATGCTCCCATTCCTCCACGGTCTCATCTTCCGGTCGCTTGCTTGCTCCTTCCATCTGTGTGATCTTTTAAATTGATAAATTGATTTTCTTTGCGGAGTTTTGGGGCACAAAAAGAAAAAGGACACACTGCAGTGAAATTGTGAAGTTATTTTTTGGCAGTTACCTCTTTGCCAGAATTGTCCAAACAGCCACTGCATACGCGACCTGAACTCCACTAGCCAAGCTGACTGTGGTGAGCTGCCCTGCAGATCATGGCATCCTGCACCGGCGGTTTCAGGCAGTCCCAAAGCCCAATGGCCCGGAATGGGAATGGAATTCCTGAATGTCGGGAGCGGAAGAGCCCAACCGCCACGGAATATTTGGGCGCCTTGGGACGACGTTCACGCCAATCCCAAACTGGCATGCCAGTCGACATATTTTCTTCTGCCGTTCCCGCCGAGAGGAAGTGGCACCCTGCGCAACAACGTTCCTCTCTTCTCGTCTCATCTCTGGATCGACACCAGCAGACAGGAGCACAGTTCTGCCCCGATTCGTCCTGACACCAACCGCCGCACATCAATCAATCCCCGTCTCTGATGCTTGGGTAGTCGGCGCTCCTTCTCTGCGCCACATTCGATTACATTAATCACTTTTTCCATCAATAGCTCCGTTTCCCCTTTTTCGCACGGTACGCCCCCCCCCTCCCGAATATTCCCTCGCCAGCTGCCCTTTCTCGGGTTATTCCGTGCACGGCTGGCGAATCTCTCTGGAGTTTTGCGCAACCATTCTGATAGTATTCATTTATTCGATATATACATACAATTTTCTGAATTAGAGATAATGGGAAAGATTCATTGAGGGTGTAACGTGCAAGGCGGTACATCTGATTTAATCTCCCCAGAATCGAGCGAGATGTCGGCTCAGCAAGGCCTCACACGCAGTCTGGAGGACCTCGTCAGCTCCCTCTCTCGAGACCAAGTCGAGCAAGTGGGAGAAGAATGGAACTCCTTCGAGGAGAACATGCTCACCGGCGACGCCGCTGCCGTTCAAGCGGGCGAGATGTCCCAGTGGGCCACCACCGCCAGCCCTCCCTCCTTCCTCAGCAGCATGTCTGGCGGCGGCCAGCCCAAGCAGGAGGGCGGCGGCCCCGAGGCCGAAGTCATGCAGGAGATCGCCAACAGTGGCTTCGAATTCGAGGAGGACCGATCTGACCGCGACATGACCTACGCCCAGTCCATCGAAGAGGCCAACCACTGGAGCCTCTGGCAGTACCAGAACAGTATGTACGCCCGCGAACCCGCCTCGCCCGACCACACCGCCGCCACCACCATCCAGCCCGCCGCCCTCGTATCCCAACAGCAACAACAGCAACAACAGCAGCCCACGCCTCAGCAGCAGCAGCAGCAGCAGCAATCCGCCACACAATCCGCCTCCGCCTGGGACACCACCACCACCATCGCCGCCCTCCAACAACAGCAGCAGCAGCAGCAGCAAGAACAGCAGCAGCAAGCGCAGCAGCAGACCTTTCTCTCTTCTCTCAACAAGCCCGGCTCCTCGTTCCTCCCGCTGCCGGGAACGCTCCTCTCGCGCCTCAACCCGCAGCAGTCGCAGCAGCTGCAACAAAGCGCGGCGACCTCGCAGTTCCAGCTCGGCGGCGGCGGCGGCGGCGGCGGCGGATTCCAGGACGGAGTTGGTGGCGGCAGCAACGCCTCGCAGCAGCAACAGCAGGGGCTGGCCCAGCAGCTCGCCCAGCTGCGGTACCTGCCCAACCTGCAGTCGGACAACCGTCTGCAGCTGCAGCAGCTCCACCCGCAGCTCCAGCGCCTCCACCTGCAGCGCCTCCAGCAGGCTCAGCTCCAGCAGCAGCTGCGCGACGGACAGCTCTCTGGCGTGCAGCCGGCGCTGGCCCACCTCCAGCTCCAGCAGATCCAGCAGCAGCGCCAGGCCGTGCAGACGCAGCTGCAGCAGCTCCAACAAATCCAGCAGCAGGTGCGAGTTTGGGCACGACACGCAACACGACACGACACCAATTGTGCCACAACGCGTTTGAGGCTAACCCCCACGGCGGTGCGGGCGAACGCAGGCGCAAAACTTCCACCAGCAGGCGCAGATCCAGCAGGCGCAGCTGCACCACCAGGCCCAGCTTCAGCAGCTGCAGCAGCAGCAGGCGCAGATCCACGCCCAGCTGCGGCACCAGCAGCAACAACAGCTCCTGCAGGGCCGGAACGCGCAGCAACAGTTCCAGCTGCCCAGGTACGAGAGCGCATTTACTTGTGACTGAGACCCGCCAGCACCGCGCATTTTTTGACGCGTGGTTGGTTGGGTGCCACGCATTGTGGTCAATCGATCATTAGATTGGCGCTCGGGCTCGGCGCACAGCACGGCGAGGAGGAGGAAGAAGAGGAAGAGGAAGAAGAGGAGGAACTGCCCGTCCCCGTCCCCGTCCCCATGCCGCCACCGCCCAAAGCCTATGGTGCGCTACTCACCCCCCCCCCTCTACACACATGTACAATACGTGCGTGCGTGCATGATAGTGGCCTAACAATTTCGCGTTGTAACGCGTCCCGTTGGCAGCGTCGAGGAAGAGGGCGGCCTCCGAGAGCCACAACGACTCGAGCTCGTCGTCTTCGTCTTCGTCGTCGGGCGGCGGCGCCGGCGGCGGCGGCCGGTCGCGCAGCAGTCTGGCCAACAAGCGTCGGCTTATTGCGCCCGACCTGCCCTTTGACGGCATTAAGCAGGAGAACCTCCAGACCGAAGTCGACGACATCCTCAAGCAGCTGGGCAAGGGCGAGGTCAGCCTCCACGTCTACGAGAACGCCCAACGGTACCTTAACAACTCTCCACCACCATCGATGCTGCGGTCGTCGGCTCACGCGCGTGCGGTGGTGTGTCGTGTGTGTGTGTCGTGCAGGGTGTATCTGCGGTACCGCGAGAACGACGCGTGGCACATGCGGGACTTTGCCGAGTACTTCCCGATCCACTTCCACTCGGAGGGCACCATCGGCGTGCCCATCCCCAAGCAGCAGCAGCCCGTCGCCGGCGGGGACCTCGCCGTACGGCCCTCGTCCCTCGGCGACCGCGAGATCCGCTCCCTCAACCTCAGCTTCAAGCGCAAGGAGCACTACTGGCGGTACCGGCCTCTCTCTTCTCTTCTCTTCTCTTCTCTCTCTCTCTTCTCTTCTCTCTCTCTCTTCTCTTCTCTTCTCTTCTCTTCAGTCGTGTGCGGTGGCGTGTCGTGCGTGTGCGTCGACCTCACCTGCCCCCTCCCCTCTCTTCGTTTCGTGGTGTGTGTCGCTCTTCCAAGGCGGGGCATCTGGGTGCGAGTGGTGGTGGACGTGATGTCGGGCGAGGGCATCGCCAAGGACGCCACGGGGTCGATCAACGTGGAGCTCTTCTCCCTGCGCGGGGAGCCCATCAAGAAGGCCTGCGAGAAGTGCTCCAAGTACTACTTCCGCTACAAGAACATCGAACCCAACGGCGAGATGGCACCCGCCTTCGAGATCGAGGAGCACGACCGCAACACCGCAGTTTCCGGTACGCTTCGTGTCGTTGTGTGTGTGTGTGTGCGTGCGTGCGTGAAACTTGCCGGCTGACGTCGCGCCTGAACCTTTGGCCACACATGACACACAGCGGGACGAGCGTCGTTCAACATGCGCGTGTGGGAGTGCTCGCACCACTACCTGACGCCCCACACGCTGGCGTTCTCGTGGATCAACCCCATGAACCCGTCCATGAAGGTGGAGGCCATCTGCCCCAAGGAGATCGTCATCTCCTCCGGCAGCGGCCAGGAGAAGAAGCTCCGCGAGATGCGGGTCAACCCCGACGACCTCTTCAAGTACACTTCTCCCCGACCCACCACCACCACCTTCCGTCAGTGCCCTGACCCATGCTCGGTGGTGGTGTGTGTCGTGTGTTATTTTGGCTGCAGGGAGTTTATCGACGCGCTGATCCTGATGGACGACGGCAAGTACACGCAGGCGATCGAGTCGCTGCGGTGCATCCGCTGGAAGGCCTTCCACTTCCTGGGTCCGTTCCTGGCCACGTGCGTGGACGAAAAGATCGCCGACTGCTTCCTGCGCACGGGCAACTACCAGACGGCCATCAACCACTTCAACCGCACCCTCAGCCTCCTCGGCGAGTCCGGCGACCGCATCCTGCCCTCCCTCAAGTACACCCCCCCCCACCACAACACATACACATTAGTGGCATTCTTTTGGCTGGTTGCATTTGTCAAACAAGCCGTTGCAAAATGGGACACGTCCCTGATGGCGGTGGTGCAAACGGTACTTGCAGGTACTACATGCAGGCCCTGCTCTACTTGAAGATCGCGACGGCGGCGTACTATAAGGCGCGCGAGTCGCCCTCGACGGAGATGACGGTGTTCCTGAAGAAGGCCCACAAGTACCTGGAGATCTCGCACAACTCGATCAAGAACGCCAAGGAGTGCGAGACCAAGGACGCGCCGCAGAACGTGCACGACTTTGCCAAGCAGTACCTCAAGTACTCCTACTACCAGGACCTCATGGGCATCTGCCTCAAGATGAAGCCCTTCGAGACCAACGAGAGTGAGTCCAACCTCTCCTTCCAGAAGATGGTCGAGGCCTTCAAGGAGCTCGAGGTACCTTCCTTCGACCACCAGCCACCACCACCCAATCCACCACGCGTTTGTTTCATCATCATCATCATCATTGTATGCGTTGCTGGCTTCTCTTCGCTTTGCTGACCGCCGCGCGCCATCAGATCAACTACACGAAGCTGGACGAGGACACGCTGTGGTCCGGGCCGGAGCTCATGTCCGTGTTCGGTCCGCTGGCGGACAAGCTGCACATCACCGTCGACAAGCTCAAGAAGCTCCTCCACTCGCCCTTCCTCACCAACCAGGCCATCACCCGACCCGTCCTCTCCTCGTCATCGCCCTCGCCCCCGGCCTCCGGCGAGTCGCCGACTGTCGGCGGGGGCGGAGCGTCGCCCACCACCACCGCCACTGCCACGACGGACGCGGGCTTGTCGTCCGGCGCGGTGCCTATGGAGGAGGCGCCGATGAGCACACAGCCGGCGCTGAGCACGGCCAGCGGCAGCGGCGAGGTGTCGTCGCCGACGGGACTGGAGCAGACGAAGGAGATCCTGCTGTCCCTGAAGCAGGCGCAGGAGGAGGCCGAGGAGCTCCACCCGAAGGGCCACCGCACGATCTGCATCAGCCGCTGCTTGTCGACCCTCTTCATGTACCTCTCCGGCGATCTGCCCGAAGCGGAGGCGCTCAAGAAGATCGAGGAGGCCACGAAGGAGATCGAACAATTTTGGGTTAACGAGAGGTACGCATGCTCCCGCGCGCCGTTTTGCGCTCGCCCAACGAAACTGACTATTCCCTCCACCCGTCTCTTCCTCTGAAGGGTCGGCGGCAAGTTCGAGGTCCAGCAGTTTGCGTCGATCGTCAACTTTTTGCGTAGTGGACGGAGGGACGAGAACTTCAACATCGAGAATCCCTTCGCCATCTTCCTCGAAAGAGAAGAGTTCCAACTGTACAGGTGCGTTACACATGGCTCCCTCCTCCAGGCGCTTTTCCACCAGGCGCTGACTGTTCACACGTCCTCCAATGTGTGCGTGTGCAGATTGTGGATCCATTCCCCTCTGGACGTCATCATTTGGGCCATTTTGCAGCTGTCCCCTGCCTAGGACAAAACGATGTTTTTCCCTTGCGCCGCCATCACAGCACACACATTAATTTATCATTTATTTATTCCTTTTTTGGTGTTTTCCTCGACCACCGCCGCACCATCGCCATCAACCACACACGCCCTCCCTGCCTTCCCTTCACCTCATCACCTCCCATCGATGCTCACTCGAGTGCTGCTCGGGGTCGATGCAGCCCTCTTTTTTTAATGGTGCGGAGCGTGTGGCACCCACAAAAAAGAATAAATAGCGCGCCAAACCTGCGGTCTCCCGAAAGAGCGGGAGCACCTCTAGACGCCCTTCTCGCGATGATCATCCCCCAGGCCTCCGCCAGCCAACCGCCGCAGCAGGTCACGCGCCGAGAGGAACACGCGCTTCTCCGCCCGCGGTGCTGCTTCTTCTCCACCTTCTCCGCTCCCCTTCTGTTTCTCTTCCGCTTCTGCGTCCTGGTCCTCTTCCTTGTTCTCCTCTACTTCTTCTTCTTGTGAGGGTTGGTTTTCGTCCTGGGCGTCGTGGCTTGCGTCGTCCGCTGGTCGCACGTCCTCCTCCATTGCGTGGCCGAGGTCTTCCGGCACCGCCACTTCCACCACCACTTGCTCATCTTCCCGCCTTTCCGGTTCGCGCTGCGATTGCGAGGAGGCCGGCGTTGTTGAGACCGACGACGACGGAGGGGAGGAGAGAAGTTCGCCGCCCGCGGCAGCGCCGCCGGCGGAGGAGGCAGGGCTGCTGTCGTCAGGGGAGGAAGAAGCAGCGGCGCTGGCGGCGCTGAAGTCGAGCTCCTGGGCCACGAAGTGCTGCCAGAAGAACAGATCGTCGACAGCGTCGTTGGCGAGCAGAGTTGTTTCGCTTTGTGCGCCCACGCCCACGCCTGATGCTGATGGTGCGGTGTGCGTCTGCGCGCGCTTCTGATGCGGGCTGCCACCCTTCCTGCCGCGCAGCAGGATGGGCGACGAAGCAGACGGCACCGGCGAGGCAAAGTACGGCGACGCGCTCGATGCCGACGACGATGACGCCGGCGCGAACGAGAAAGTGGAAGGCGATGACGAAGACGAAGTCGAGCGCAGCGACACAGCACTCGAGCGGGTGGTGGTCTGAGCAGGCGAGGAGGGGAAGCTCATCCCACCACGATCGCCGTGCATGGTGCGCGGAGGCTGCGCGGAGGAGGCGGTGGTCGTCGTGGTCGTGGTGCTGATGGTCGTGCGCTGGCTACTTTGATCGGCGAAGAGGGGCCGGCCGAGGAGGCTCTGGTAGAACTGCAGCACGCGCGGATGGGCCTTGATCCCGGCCGGGTTGAAGCTCAGCAATCTGCGCAAACAGGACGAGACAGGACAACAACACCGGTGAGACGAGGGATTGACTCCCGGCCGCCACGCGCACACCCACGCACACGCACACCACACACGAGGGGGGGGTACCGCAGGCCTTCGAGGCTGGTGGCGCGGGAGAGGGCGACGTAGGCCTGTCCGTACTCGAAGACGTTGCCCAGGTGGAGCTCCACCTTACTGATCGTCATCCCTGCCAGCACGGGTGAGCAGACAAGCGAGCGAGTGCCATGACACGTGCCGCCGCACACGCACAAACGCACACAAACGCCCGAGAGAAGGAGACGAAGGGCCTGCGCGCGGCGGAGGAGTCGAGTGGGTACCTTGCGATTTGTGAATGGAGAGTGCCCAGGCGAGGCCCAGCGGGACCTGCTTGCGGGAGGCCTTGACGCTGCCGCCCACCTCCACGCTGAACTGTTCCGGCGTGAGTATCCTGTTATGTTGCACGACACACGACACGCGCACGACGCACGACGTGACACGACACACTATCAGAGACTGCAACGATTCGATGCGCGTAGTGGGTGGTCCGCGAGAGCAGATTAGACTGCGAGAAAGAGAGAGATTGACTCGAACCTTCGGTGTCCGTTGGCAAAGAGTACGTCGGGGTACTCCTGCTTGGCGAAGGCCTTGTCCCGCTCCTTCTCGCGCTCGGACCGGTCCGGCTTGCGGAATTCGACGACCAGGCCCCGCGCCCCGTTGACCAGCTCGTTCTCAAAGTCCAGGTTCTTCAGCAGGATCACCTGCCCACCACCACCACAACCGCCATCGGTCGGTCGGTATGTGCGGAATGTCGGGGCAGCGGCCAAAAACATACATATAAACATAAACATGGAATGTAGCGGCAGGTACCTGGGCGCCCACCTTGAGCTCGAGCTCGTAGGGGGCCGGGCAGTTCTGCTGGAGCTGCTTGAGGTACGGATTGGTGCCCTCGTCCTCCGCGTAGAACGTGTGCTGCTCGCGCACACACGCACGTGCGCTCAATTTGATTTAATTTGGGATTGCCGAAGCACCTCGCCGAGTCATGAGGTGGGTGGCGTACGCTCTCGGTGTTGATGTCCTGCAGGCACTTGACGTTCTCGGCATCGACGTCCCGCCGGTGCGAGTACAGGCGCGTCGCCACAATCTCCTTCTCCTTCTCCCCCTGCCGGCGTGTGTGTGTGTGTGTGTGTGTGTGTGTGTGTGTGTGTGTGTGTAGAGAGAGAGAGAGAAGGTGAGCGAGCGCGGCTTGAAGCTTAGCCGCGGTCATGGTTGGGGGGAGGGGGGGCTGTAACACGTACCGACGCCTCGCCTTCGCTTTCTCCGGCGGAGTCGGGTTCCGGTTGTTTCGCGGTGGCGGTGGAGGCGGGGCCGAGGAGGCGGCCCTCGAGGATGCGGCGCGCTTCGGGGGACAGGCGCCCGACCCGGATCTGGTTGAGGATCCCCACAAACTGCTCGTCGGCCTGCCTGAACACCTGCTGCAATATTATCGTCCCTGCACACGCGTTGAACACGCACGACACGCACGACACGACGTAACACACGACGCTGACGATGAGCAAATCAAATGGGGGGGAGGGGAATTGGGTGTGGACGATGGTGGGGGGGTGTGGTATACGCTTGATCACGGAGGACCAGCAATCGGCCTGGAAGCAGAACTTGTGGTCGCGCCCTTTCACCACAGGAGGCAGCTGGGCGGTGCAGTGCGGTGGTGAGATGATGATGCTCGCAGACCACCACTGAGAGGTCTCGAGAAGAGCAGCGCGTGCGTGCGTCATGTGTGCGTGTGTGTGCGGTACCTGGAGGAAGTCGCCGCAGAGGATGATCTGGATGCCGCCAAAGGGGAGGTGCGAATCGCGCACAATGCGGGCCACCTTCTCCATCTTGTCGAAGAACTCGGCCTCCAGCATCGACACCTCGTCCACCACCAGCACCTGCACGATCAGCCAACGCGCCACCCAGCAGCTGACGTTGTCAGTCGCACAGCAGCAGCAGCGGAATGACGGGCGGGTCGGCGCCGACCTTGGCGGAGCGCCAGCGAGCGAGGGTCCACTTGGCGTTGGCGACCTGGGACGCCAGCGATTCGGCCGAGCCGTTGGCCAACCCCACGCCCGCGAAGCCGTGTAGAGTCACCCCGCCTATGTTGCATGCCGCCACGCCCTGTCCGCACACAATCGAAAGCACGACACACGACACGAACAACGACACACACACACACACACACGGCACGTGTAAAACAAACTCGTTCGAGTGTTGTCTCGTCGCAAACACGCAAATCGAAGCGGTCAAGGTGCATGTGAGTACGGTGGAGGCGGTCACGAATATGCCTTCCCGGTGCTTCCGTCGCAGTTGGGTGATCATCTCCTTGAGCAAAAACGACTTGCCCGTGCCTGTGGCGGTCAACGTTGGTGAGAAGAGAATGGAGGATGAAGGTGATGATGAGAGGGAGAAGGGAAGCGCACCGGCAGACCCGGTGAAGAAGAAGGAGACGCCTTCGAGCGCCACCTGAAGCGCCGCTCGCTGCTCGTCGCTCAGCAGCGAAGCGCGGTTGGGCTCGGCGTCTTGCGGCTTGGGTTGGGAGGGATCCGCATCGTAGACGTCCCTGTCCGACAGCATCCGGTCCATCACCGCGGCCTCCACCTCCTCCTGCTGCCACCGCCCACCCGCACCTCTGTGCGCCACCCATGGGACACGCTCGACGATCAGTGTGTTGTGTGTAGTGTGTCGTGTGCGGCGGTGCATGTGCGTGTCGTTGCCCGGATGCTGGCCAACAGATGGATGGCAAAGGCGCGGGAAAGAGCTCTCAAGGAGGCGCACCTGGGCATGATGGTGTCGCCCGGCAGGAGGAGGGGACGAGGACCGCCCGCACCGCCGCCGCCAAGGTGGTGGTTGCGCCGCCGAAGGGACGACGCCATGGAGGGAGCTCCCCCGCCTGCGGTACGGCCGGTGCCATGGCGCCCAGAGGCGCGGGCGGTGAAGGCCGGCAGCGCCTGGGACGACGCGGCGGAGTCGAGGTGCAGGGATGAAGTCGCTACAGCAGATTTTGTAGCACCATTGGTGGTTCGTCTATTAGACCCGCGCGAAAGAGAGGGCAGCGATGATGTTGCGGACGGAACGGCAATCACGGCATCCTCTTCTTCCACAAGATCATCGTTGGCACGGTTGTGATTTTCATTTTCGTCATTTTCGTTTTTCACCTTCTTTTTGGGCGAGGTGGAGAAAAAGCTCAGTAGTGTCCTCTGTTTGTTGCTATCTCCTTCAGAGGATTCCTTCCGCTTTCTCTTACTGCTCGCCTTCATGCTGCCATGCGCTCAATGATTGTTCTTTCGCGCCATTTTCACCTCGCCTAATTGTTTCCTGGAAATAGATCTGTGACATTATTTTGTCTTTTCTTTCTCTTTTTCTTCTTCCCGTTTTTATTCGGTGCGGCAGCTGTACTGTCCGCAATCACCGCCGTGACTCTAGCGCGTTGCCCCTGCCAGGTCAGCACACAGCGAGGTAGGCGAAGATTGCGCGCACGTCTAGCCGATCCTCGTGAAAGCAGTCGGTCGAGTGTGCGGGTGGAGCAGACACCAATTCAAAAAGAGGCCAAAGGGTGACGGTGCGGCAGTACTTTTGGTCAGGGTGGCGGACTTTAGGAAAAAGGGGTTGCTTGGGGAACGCTTGCCCCGCTACAAAAGAAGACGCGCCTTGTTCGCTTGCGTGAACTACAGCCCTACTTGGACACAACCCATCCAGCGAACGCATCACATAGCATCTAGCGGGCTAATAATTCAGACGAGATCGAGCGCAAGATGACGGAGAGGAAGAAGTCGATGATCGAACGCGATGACCCGATGGCGGTGGAGACGATGCGTATAATCGGCACTCTACGCGATGTGCAGCCCCTTCTGGCCGATTTCCTCAAGGCCTCGCAGAAGTACACCCAGCAGCTCGCCGCTGCGGTGTCGGCCGGTGGGGCCATGCTCGAGGCGCTGTCAAAGCTGTCCGAGCACCAAGGGGGCGATTTGGGCGAGGGGGTGAAGCATCTGTTCGAGGTCCAGAAGTCGTTGGAGGAACACCGCCATCAAGTGGTGCAGGCCTGGAACGATCAGATCCAAGCCGATCTCACCAATCGACTCCCCACTGACAAGAACGAAGTCGCTACGTGGGAGAAGAACTACAAGACCAAGCGAGCCAACTCGGTCAAGGCGCTCAAGAAGGCCGAAGCGAATCAGCAGAAATGCAACAAGCCGAAGCCCAAGGCCAAGGCGCCCGAGAAGGCCGAGGAATCGGATCGTCAGCTCGAGCAGGTCACGGCCGAACACGACATCCTCCTCCGCGAGGAGCTCCGCGATGCGGTGCGGCTCGAGCGCAGGAAGCTCTGTCGCTTCATCCAGCAATTCGGCTTCCTCATGGACGTACAGGCCAACATGGCCCAGGCCGATCTCGTCGCCATCGACAACTGTCGATCGGCCCTCGGCAATCTGGGCGAATCGGAGGGGCTCATCACCGGCCGGGCTCGCATCCTGCTCAACGACGAGGGCACCGCCCCGCCCGCCTTCGTCGCCCCCGCCCAGAACGCCTTCATGCCCCCCATTCTCTCCACGTCGGACAGCTCGACCACCACCCTGAGCTCAGGTCCCTCGCGCGGCACCCTTAGCTCGCGCAACAGCAACATCCTTAACCTGCCCGCCAGCATCGCGCCACCCGAGGTACAGTACGCCGACTTCGACCCGCTGGCCTCGACCGCGGCGATGATGGGCGGCGCGAGCCCCTCGTACGTGGACTTCTCCAACAACGACAGCACCACCACCAACCTGGCCCCGAACGGCGGCCCACCGCTCGACGATCTGCTCAAGGATGATCTCTGGGATCTGGTCAACGGCGGAGTCGCCGCGGCCGCGGGTCACCTCTACAGCGACGCGCCGCCTGCCGACGCCGACATCGCCGCCGCTCTGCGCGACATCGACGAACTCGCCATCAACCTGTAGAACGGCGGACGGCGTTCCCCCACTACACAGCCCCGTCTTTTGGGCCTGGTCTATTTATCCGCTCTTTGCCGGCCCGCTGGAGTCACTGGTCGGTCGTCTACACTGCCACACCCTCTTCTCCTTCTCCACCGCAACACTTACTCTCTCCGCCATCCCACCTTCCACGCGACACGCAGTATTCTGCGGCGTTCGCTTCGCCATCACGCCAACCTCACCTGTTCTATTTTATTTACCCTCCCTTGTACATAGGCGCCAGCAGCGC